TTGATCGAAATCATTTACAAAATGATTTTAATATGAATAAACTATAACAGCATTTCTGCCTGTGTATGCTGTCTTACAGGCTGTATGTGAGCGTAAATCTGGCATGAAAAAAAGAACTTTGTAATTTTGTTTGTACAGGTTTGCACTTCCCACGTTTTTGTTTTCAACCTTTGCCAATGATGAGGGAAGTACATGAACAGCTATTCAAATGATATAGGGAGATACCTCGTTTATGATCTTTGATTTATTGTCATATTTTATTTTTAAGATTGGAGCATCTAAGAGTGCTTCTGTTATCTTTTCTTCATCCAGTGTTTGTGGACCTTGTAAGATATTAAAAACTTTTTTAATTTGTTCTTGGAAGAATGTTACAGTGAACTGGTTGTCATCTTGTGAAACTTTAACTTGTGCAAAACAGTTGGTAATACATTTATCTCTTTTTTGCGTCAGATTACAGTTACCACATTTTATAATCTTGGCAGTAAAAGATCCATCTGCTACCTTTTTGTGGCACTGTAAACATGAAAGGTACTTTCCGAATGTTAGCAGACCAGTGACTTCAACCTTGGCCTCTGTGGTTGTAAAAGAATCAGGCAGTTCAACAGACAGGGGTAAGGATTCAATGAAGTCCTCTGCTTCCGACACTGTACAGTCATGCATCGTTGTGCCCAAGGCCAGTTTGTCAGACTTGTATTCTTTTATAACTCTAACGTTATGGAATGTATAAGTTTTTCTTTCACTGACTTCATTTATTTTGTCTTCCCAGAGAGTTAATGTTATTGTTCCGGATGGATCGCTGAGGAAGCATTCAGCTTTACATTTTTCTCCATTCGCTGTAGTTACTTTTTTTTTTTGTACCACTGATCTTTGTAACTTTCGCTTTAATTGTTATCAGCTGTTGGAAGTGGACACCAGAGAGTGACGCTATGTTATTTGTTTGTGGTATTTCTTTTGGTGCGAATGATACCTTGGTTGCGTCAATTCGGACTTTTTTGTCCATAAGTACTGTATTTGATTTAAGATCCATTTGGAAGTTGCTGAGCTTCACAGGGCTCTTTTTTGAACTTCTGGCTTTCAGGTCATCGTGTTTTTTTGTGGCAAAGCATATTGCTCTAACGGTACTATCAGGGCCAGTTTGAAGTAACATTTCAAAGTAGCTTGATTTTGAGCTTTTCTTCACTGGCGATACAGCATGGAGATATCCTGTTAGTTCATGAGGTTTGTCCATGTTAAAGCTGTTGAGAGAAAGAGATTTAAAATGAATACTTTGTAGCAAGATAATAAATTTTAATATATTTTAATTAAAGAAATTGTATTTTTGCGTTGTACATGTAAAGTTGTAATGTAATGTTTAAAGCAAAGTAATACTTGCCTTTGTAAGTTTTAATCAAATGGCGGGGAAAAGAGAGCGTTCAGGGTTACCATCCAAAATTAGACAGCAACCTCAAACAACACAAGAAAATTTAAACTACATGTAGCAGTTCTCAATGAGAAATGAGTGCTGCTGTTAGTTGCATGTTTTAATACTACGTACAACACGTGCTATTATTTGTTTATAAAACACAAGGCGAATATCTAATCCTACTGGAGTTATGACGATTGCAGCTCATTTACAGATGTCAACTCATGCTTTTATTTGTTTATAAAATACAAAGCAAATAACTAATCCTACCCGGCCAAGTTACGACGCTTGGAGCTCATTTACAGATGTGGTATTAAAGCTTCCTTTTGAAACATTTAAGCAACAGAATCCTCTTTTAAGCTCAGTTACACCACACAAAAGAGTTTTATTTTCGATACTTCTAGTTTCTTTGACACTTTTACGGTTAATTTATTGATGGCTTCAAGAATATTGACGGCTGTCTACAGCAGCAATTATGTTCGAATTAATGCACAGATTGCTTTATGATCTGAAAAATATGTTTCAATGTGTGCAAATTCACCTGTGATTCAGGTAAATTAGTATAAATGTGGTCTATGGTGGTTCTGTTGTCAGTTGTATAACATGATATTAATTGCCTGTAGCTGTTTTCTCTAATGAACAAATTATAAAGAGGAAGTTTCTCTTTTTCATTTAACCAGTTCACATTAAAATCACCCATAAATAGTTTAAATTTGGAACAGTTCATAGTCAGAAGTTCTGTTAATGCTAAACACATCTGTCGCACAGGCACTCTGGGTGACCGATACACACCTATTATGGTAATTTGTGGTATTTTTTCAAGTTTTACAATAGTTATTTTTACGCCATTTGTGTTCATGCAAACTGGATACCCAGGAATAAAACTTATTTTACTATACACAGCTGTTCCACCATAAGGTCTGGTATTACATGTTGTGCATTGACTGTCATTTCTAAATAAACTGTAGCCACTAATTGTGTATGCAGTATTGCTGACTAAAGTATATAACCTTGTTTCTGAGAATATACTGACATCAGTATGTGAATAGTTCAAATCTTTGCGTATGGCTTCTATATGTTTATGCAATGATCTTGAATTAAGGAAGCATAATTTAACAGTAGGTTCATGTATTTCATAAATAGGAGTTAAAGAAAAGTGGAGATGCTTTTTTCTGTCCGTAAGCGTTGCATATTTTGTTCTCACAAAGGTCAGTTATGTAAAGCCCTTCTATAGTTGTTACTCTACTTAATTCTACATAATGAATGTGAGGTATTGCTCTCCTGGTGTTAAAGTTAACTACTATTCTTGTCTCAGTGTCACCTTGTGATCTGTGAATGGTTTTAGCAGCAGCAGGTCTCAATGGAAATTGCTTTCTCACAACCTGAGCTGTTCTGTTTCTTCCAACTGCAAATTGTGCAGTGATAGGTTTGATAGGAGTCCATTTGCGTTCAATACCTTGTACAAATAAGTGCCTGTAATCATGTCTATTTTTTCCTCCTACATGTGCTTGGTCAAATTCTACCCATATTATTCCAGAAGGTCTGTTTTTGTCATGTAATTGTATCTTCCTTACAATATTAGCAGCACCATTTGTCATGCCATCATCAGTACTTAGATTCACTGCGATTTCTGTTCTTTCACCTTCAGCAAGTTGAAGGTTTAAAGGTAATTCCTTAGTTTTTCTAGGATCAAGTGGTACTTGCTTTAAGATCTTATCCCTTAGTTCTGCAGAGTTAGCACCCACAACACTATCTAAGGCTTTAATTGTATACTTTTCACCAGTTGCAGCCATGTGAACTCTCCTATTAAACTCATCAACTTTAGAATTCTGTAGGAACAAATGGGGGACATCGATAGGGTAATTTGTACAATTTTCTGAAATGCATCTCTCTTTAAGTTTTGCAATGTCTTCTGGAGTGTGATTACCTTCTCTTAACCTGTTAAGAAGTTGAGCAAATTCTTTGCTTTCTCTTTTTCTCATAATTTCTTCTAATTCAAACATTGTAGATAGTTCTTGCCACAAGTTGGGAGCAAGAGCTCGATATTCTGAGTTGTTCATATCTTTAAACACATAACCATCCATAACAGGTTCTAACTGAAATAAATCACCAAGTGCTATCATGCTTACACCTCCAAATGGTTCTTTGCTGCCCATAATATCTTTTAATCTATTATTTATTTGTACATTAAACATAGTATTGCCAACCATTGAAATTTCATCCAAACATATTAGTTTCACTGCACGAAGTTTACATTTCAGAGTGTTAAGTCTACTTGAGTCAAGAGGTTTATAAATCTTTAGTGACTGGCTTGCTGGAATTGCCAAGGTACTGTGTATTGTATTACCTTGTATGCCAAAAGCAGCTTTTCCAGTTGGTGCTAATAACAGTATTTTAACATCATTGAAGTCTTCACCAGCTCTGGAGTTGTAATATTTTAGTGCTGCTTGATATAGACATTTGACCAGATGGGACTTGCCCACTCCAGCTCCTCCAGAGAGGAAATAGTAGAATGGTTTGTCTGATGTTTTAACAATATGCAAGATATGATAAAAAAATTACTTTTGTTTTTGATTTAGTGTTTGCACCAATTGTCTGTACTCTTGGTCTTGTAATTCATTTAGTATCAGTGGTTCACTAGTTTCTATTGCTGAAGGAATTCCAACATCTTCTGATAAATCATAGTTTTCATTGAGATCAGGATGCAAATCTTGAAGACCCTCAGCCTCATCCTGGTATTCTCTGTTTTGTGTAAATGGTGCTATTGAGTCAAAATGATCATTGTCTTCATCAAGATGAATCAAGTGTTCATGGATTTTGTCTAAGTCTTCACTGCAAACAGCATATAGTTTCATTTGCTTATTTTTACTATCTTTTACATTTATGAAACGTTCTTGGTAGGAGGAACAGTTAGCTAACAAATCAGTGTCCTCATTTCTCCATGACGTAAACAGCATTATTAATTCACGATAATGTTTTTCTGGATCTTTTTCACAGTTATACCAAACACTTCTTATAATTCTAGCCTTTGATCTTTTTTTTGTTACTTTTGGGATTGATGAGATTATCCTCAAAAAGGTCATCGTCATTTTGTTCATCATCAGCTTTTTCTAATGGAATTATATGAATCTCTTTCGAATGATTTTTTTTGCATATGGTTTTCCACATGAGTCATACCATGCAGCCCAATCTGCCAATGTTAAGTATTCAAGGCTTAAAGGGCGTTTTGCATATCTTTGCAAAAGACCATTGGTATATACATCTTCACAATCATCATCCATTTCTTCAATGTCATTTATTGATTTTAAAAGCTGAACTCTTTCATTAGGAGGAGTGGTATTTATGAATATTACTTGACGAGAAGACTTCTTCATAGGAAGCTGTAAAACAATGTAAACAGCTTCTTGTGCACTTATCTCGACACTGTTTAAAAATTTGTTTCCAATGTCTCGGACTTGTAGCTTTATGCTAGAATTTCCTTTTCTGGCTTCAGCACATGCTTGTCGTAAAAGTTCACTCACTCCTTTTTTGTGCTTTAGAAATATGAAACTATGTACATGGCACATGCATACACATCAAGTACAAACTGGATATCCATGTTTGCTCTCCACGCCTCGAGGGAAGCAGGATTATAGTTGTTTATTCTTAACTCATTCGGTTTTCTTTTTAAAAACACAGTTGGTGAATTTAACGATGACCTCACAGCTAGTCGATATTCATTTTCAGTAACTTTTAATTTGACAAGTAGTTCAAATGTTATAGGTTCGCCTTCTTTCATATCATTTAATTGCTTGTTGATTATTTTCCAAGTGTCTTTGTGCTGTTTTATTTTATTTTGTGGCATGTCTGCTTCTAAAGGGTAAAGAATTTCAGTTGCTCTCATAGGAGGTTGTGGATAGTTAAATCGACATTCATTCTTTGACTTTTTTCTACAAGTGTGACAATGCCTGTGAATTTGCCTGTTCACTAGTTTATGTAATTCTGTATTATCAACTGGCCATGGACAACTAATTATTTTATCAATAAAGTCTGTAACGGCAGCATCGTCGTCGACTCCAAATACTGGTGCATCTTCAAGCCATATAAGCATGTGTATGTGGGTGAGCCCCGCTGCTGGTATTCTACTCGGTAAAACCAGTCAGAAATTTTGCCTAATGGTTGAGCTTTACCAAAAAGAAAGTTCGTGAGAAATTGACTAATTTGATAATCAAAATGTCTAGCACATGTCACTGGGTCACTTTGAATAAGCCTGCATTTCTCATCCCAGGTCATATTTTCAAGCTCACTGGTAGTGTAGTCTTTGTGATCAACTACCTGGCCAAGTATTCGAAGGAAATGTATCCATTGTGTTTCTGCTGAAGAAAAACTACAGAATATAGAAGATGGTCCTAATTGTCTAATCATTGCAAACAAATCTTTCTTAGCCTTTTCAAAAAAAATATGGTGGTGAACCTCTTAATGCTCTCAAGAATTGGAATCCTTCATCAAGATGAATCAAGCGCTCTATTGCTCCTTCACATTTCAACTGTCCTGCATTTAAAGATCTATTATTTCCTTTGCACTTCCTAAGAGCAACTTGTGATTTCCCTAACATAATTTTCATTTGAAGTTTTTTTGTTTTAAAGAATATGTTTTCAACACACATAGCAGCTCTCCTATCTGAGCGTCTTAGTTCAGATTTACAGATGTCGCTATAATGAACGTTAACTAGTCTATCTTTATTTTCCGGCCGACCCTGACCAAGGAATATACCAGGATACGCTAATTCTTCAGAATATTGATCTCTGAATATACTTAGGGGTTTGGTTCCTTCTCCTGGTGCAACATTTAATATATGTTGAGGCTCACTGTCTTCAACAAATTCTGTGTTCGTCAACATGGTGTCAGTAACACCAGCAGGTATTTCTGCCTCATCTTCAGTCCACTGATCATCACTATCAGTGACATCACTTCCACTAATATTACTTTTGCTTATTGCAGCTACTGGTGTTTTGTATTTCTTCTGATTGTTCATTTTGATTTTCAGGATTAGTTTCACCTAATAAACTGTTTACTCCCCAGTCTTGATTTACAGTTATTCCTTCCTGTTTGTAGAGAGTGCTGTTATTAACTAGCCAATTGGCTGCATGAACAACTTTATGTGGCCTTATATTGAGAGACAATGCTGAGCTTTTGTATTGCAATTTTCTCTTTAAATTGACTTTAATTGTACCAGCATCATTGGTTAACCTTGGTAAGATATTGACAGTATCAGTTACTTCTGCTGGGACATTTACAACATTTCCATGTATTTTGAATTGCCTTCCTCTTGGAGCTTGCATTAATTTTTGAAATGCAAGTCTTGGAGCTACAAGCCTACATTCCAGTTCATTGAGGTAAAAAAATTCAGGTTTTATTGGAAAACTCATTCCATTCAATATGGCAAGGGGTGGAACTTTATTCTTTGCTAAGTAATTATGACAAGTTCTACATAGCCACTCTTTATTGTTGACACTTTTTGTTTTTAAAAGATATTTTTCAGCAGCAGGGTTTGATTTTCTTATTCTAGTAGCTGGGTAAACACTGTGTTTATACCACAGCTGATCACAACAACTACAAATATATAAGGGGCCCTGTGACACAATTTCATGAAACCTCATTATTAAGGCAGCCATGTTTTGTATTTTTTCGTTGTTTTCTTTTTGACTTTCAGCATTATTATTTTCTTTAGTGGTTGAGGTTTGCTTCTTGTTGTTACACTTATACTTTTGATTCGTTTTAGTAGCCCTTTTGTTATTTCTGTAATGTTTCATGTAAGAAGTCCAGTTTTTTTTCTGCTCCTGTGTCTTGGATTTGCATTTATTATTTCCACTACTGTTAGTGCTTATTCTTAAATTGTTTACATCAGAATTGTGTTTTCTTTTTCGACTTCCATTATTTACTAGTACAGCATTTGTATTCTCTTTAGTGGGTGAACTTTGTTTATCACTGTTACATTCATAGCTTTGATTCATTTTACCAGCCCTTCTGTTATTTCTGTAATAATTCATGTAAGAATTCCATTTATTTTTTTGCTCATGAGTTTTGGATCTGCATTCATGGTTTTCACTGTTCTTAGTACTTATCCTAACATCGTTCAGATGGGAATAATTGTGTTTTCTTTTTCAACTACCATTATTTACAAATACAGCATTTGTATTCTCTTTAGTGGGTGAACTTTGTTTATCACTGTTACGTTCACAGCTTTGATTCTTTTTACCAGCCCTTCTGTTATTTCTGTAATAATTCATGTAAGAATTCCATTTATTTTTTTTTTTTTCATTGCTCTTAGTGGTTATTCTAACATCATTCAGATTGGAATCATTATTGTGTTTTCTTTTTCCAGTACTATTGTGTACTTGTTCAGGAAGAACATTTTGTTCTGTAAAATTGAAATCACTATTGTGACTTCTGTAAGGGTGCTCATTTCCTGAGTAAGAGCTATTTGGTATTGTTGATACATAATGCACTTCGTTTACATGACCTATATATATTGTTCATGGTTGCTGTGATGATGAATGGCGTGGCTCTATTAAAGTTGCCTGTCCAAAATTTATGTGAGATTCTACAATATAAATTTGTATATTAAGTGATTCTGCAACTGCTTGTACAATTAATGTATCACACCATGTGCCTTGCATTGACATATTTGTCAAGTAACCATTCCATGAGTTCTGAGTGTTGCTTTCAATGAAACGTTCAGGGTTATCCCTGAGGTATTGGACAGCAGCTTGTCTGATGTGAAAGTGATGACTGGGATTACCATACAATTGATGTGATACGGCTTTAAAAAAGCAGTCACCTGCACCACCCACATCTAAAGCTATCAATCCTAACTGTCCTAAGCATTGTTGAGGAATCCACTGACAAATTGGTCTGATTGTTCACATTCTGTTCGGGACCTGGATTTAATTCAACGTCACCTGATCTCAAAAGATTCATCCTTGATACGCAATATGTTTTAGCCGGGCAAGTTGATTTTTTAATTTTACCTGAACAACAGCTACTAGTTTGCTTTCTTTTTTTTTGACTTTTTTGTTGCCAGTCTTTTAAAATTGACTAAGGAAGTAATAAAAGCGTTGGCTCTCGGTCTCTATGTCGTTTTACTTGTTTAACGAACTTGGAATTTTTCCGAGGGGAATGTTTGTGGAATTCTTTCGATGGCGGTACATCAACAATGGAAGCTCCCACAACAAATCTTACATCTGTTTTTAAAGATCTGTTAGAAACTATCCTTAGATAACAAATATCATGAATTGTACTTCTACACTTCCCTTGTAGGTTAAAAATTGCAACAGCTTTCGCAAATGTCTGGCCAGTGAAAGGTATTTTCACTTTAGGGGCAATTTCATTTCCCAAACAGCGGGTTAAACAGGGCATATTTCCCTTAGTGGGCTTTATAATCCCCAAAAGGGGCCCAATAATTCCCGTAATGGGCTTTTCTCTCCCCAAATGGGGCTCATTTATTTCCCGAAGGGACTTTCTTTTCCCCAAATGGGGCTCATAAAGCTTATTTTGTGTCCAAGGCACTCGCAATATCGCCGAGTGGTGATGCTGTTGGCACCAAGAAAGCTTCCATCGATCTACAACTTCAAAGCATCTTTCAAAACCTTTCACACGGCCGGACAAACAAGTAGTGCGAATGCTGTGGCAAATGGACAAAATACCCTTTAAGAAATCCATCACAAAGATGAAAAACGAAAAGATCACTTACCTAGCAAGCAACAAACACTGCAATAAGCTCACGTGAAATATACAACAAGATGGCGGACCTCTTCCTTGGAAAGCTGAACGGAAGCACATGGTTGTTCACGAACTTGACGTTTCCTTTTCTCGTATTTGATTGGTTCCGAGTCTTTCTGGAAATTAGTTGTGTGCCACGAGCTGTTGGCGTTGTCCATTTCTCAAATCCGATTGGTTCCAATATTCCCCAGAGGAACGAATTTAACCCGAAAGTATTACACCCGAAAGTATTACAGGCTACCGAAAGTATTACACTTTGAGAATACTTCATGTAACATGTCACGAAATGGAATCCACGGTGAAACGTTATGAGAAAATCCGCGATTTTATCTTATATGAAGTAATGGTCGCGCGTTTTACAGCTTATCATTGTGTCTGCATGCAAATGCAGCAGACATAAAAATGAATAGGAAAAAACGCACACCTCTGAGACGCAGTTTTAAGCCATCGTGACATGGCAAAACACTCGCACACTTCCAAGAGGAGGCGCGCGAAAAACGGCATTTTAAAATTTTTAAAACGATTTTAAGTTTTGAAAGTGCGGAACGGACGTGGGCTTGGCCCTTACTAATTAATTATTAATCGAAAAAAAGTTCCAGAAAAAAACTTATTAAACACTAATAATGTCCATATTAGTTAATCGAAAAAAAGTTCCAAAGTCCAAAGAGATACTAATTAGATACTAATAAAGTCCATGACAAGTCCATATTTACATACAAAGGGACGACCTCTTTAATATTAGACCTAAATATTAATAGACTTAACTAATATACTAGATAAATCGTAAGATTAACTAAAGCCAATAATAGAAGAAAACTAAATAATAGGACCTAATAT